AGTGACTTTAGCGAATGGTCACTAAATGAATGTTTATAAGTCGAAGATTACCTATAGTCTGTTGTGTGATAATACATTTTGACTGAAATGGTGTAAGGTCTCCTCCTGAGTGGGGAGGGGGAGTTGGACTAGAAGACCTCCAACTCTGTTATTCTGTTATTGCATTTCTTGATGGAAAAACTAGTTGAGGAGTAGAGCAAGACCTCTTGGTGGATTGTTATTTCATTGAACGAAATATATATATGTATGTATGTATGGCATTCGGCTTTGTTCGGGTATTTTCCCACGTCACTGTAGTTGTGCTTTTAAAGTTGTAGCAACGTTTCGGCAGAATCTCATCTGCCATCATCAGGCTTCTGTGGATGAAGGCTGGTTTACTAAAAGTTACATTATAAAAAATAAAACAGTGTTCTAATATTACTTACTTTTGTTAGCTGAGAATTATAGTGTATATTTCTAATTATATGTGGTTATTATGGATCCAATGAAACTATATTTGCAAGAACTGTTTTTTGGGGGGTGGAAATCTGTTTCCTTTATTTACTTTGCATTCCTAAACATTGCAGATGCTCAATTTATAACATTTGCATGCCGTACATATATAAGGAATACGGTATCTGTGAGCTGAAATATAATTATAACAATGCAAGATTGAATGCCGTGTTTTTTATTTGCTTTAACCTTGTATCTAAGTGCAGTATAAGGTCTATTTCATGCATTCTTAGAGATTGAACATCTTTGCACAGATGTTTGTTCAAATATTCATAGTTGGAGCAGATAAATCACCATGGAAGTAGCTAGAAAGAAGTTTCTTGGCCAGGTTTGGAAGAAATAATTGTGCCTGTGAAATAATTGAGTAGTGAAAGTTGGTTATATACCCAAACACTGATTTCAAGATACTTTTCCAGCTGCTTGATAATAGGATTCCTTTTTATTTAAGTGAGGTGTCCAAAAAACCATTCAGTTGGTGTGTCGGGGAAAAAAAACAACCTTTGAAAGCCCAATTGAAGATTGTTCCGTCTATTGAGACATGGGGGAGAAGTAAAAATGTGCATTTTAAAAGCCAAGGCATTTTAGTAGAGCTAAACTAAGATTGAATGCAGCATAATCTTCCAACAGCTTGTCGCCTGTCTCTTTCTCCAGAATAATTAGCAAATTATGCTAATTGCATGCAGCTTGACATGTAAATAAGCTGGGATATATTTTTCATGATGTATTTACCAATATGGTCTTTTGTTTCTGAACAAATTGGGGTGGGGGGGCGGCTGAATAATGAGAAAGAAATTCTCATCCCAATTATTTTAACAGCTGTTAAGGTAATCCGAAAACTTCTCTTTAACTGACCTCAGTCTGTCTCTGGATTGCTAGGGGCATCAGTGCAGGTGAGAATAAATCTGGAGGATCTTCTTTCTTACAATGAGGCGGCTTCCAAAAGCCTTCAGCACAAATATACCCTGGGTAAAATATACCCAGAACTGAGGAAGCTTCTTGAAAGAGAGGCGAAACCTCCTCAAGCAAAAACAAAAGTCCAGTTGCCTTTTGGAAAAGTACAACCGTGGCCTTGGATGATTGAGAATCTACATAGACCTTTCTTTCTTTCTTTCTTTCTTTCTTTCTTTCTTTCTTTCTTTCTTTCTTTCTTTCTTTCTTTCTTTCTTTCTTTCTTTCTTTCTTTCTTTCCTTCCTTCCTTCCTTCCTTCCTTCCTTCCTTCCTTCCTTCCTTCCTTCCTTCCTTCCTTCCTCTATTCATTCATTCATTTGTTTTCATGCCTGCTGGTCTCTTTGTCTGCAGTTTGCTGCTTTTGGCATGAAAGCAAGATATTTTTTTTTTCCTTTTAAGGGGAAAAATGTTTCCCCAAATAGTTGTAAAGTTGAACCATGTTTTTTTCCCTGCCAGGTTGCAAGAAATGTCCTGTAGACCTTTGAGGGAGAGTGTGGTTTAAAAGCCATCTGATGCAAACACTTAGTTTGTTTCTACCATGGCTTGTTCAGTTCTCCCTTCTGGGTTTCAGTGGGATAGTTGGTGGCAACATTGTGTGGCACTAAAATGGGGTACAAGAAAGTGGGGAGAGCAAAAACAAAAAACAACAACAACAACCCAAAGGTGGACTAAAAAGGAGAGGTGCTCTTCTCTACCTTAAATCAGTGTTTTTCAAACTTGTAAGATATGTGAGCTTCCAACTCCCAGAATTCCCCAGCAAGCATGGAAAGAAATTAACCACGTTTGATAGAATTCTAAATTCCATTGCTCAGTGTCAGAACGGTGTTTCCACCTTGAATTTTTAAAATCCCTGCTTTTCTTCCTTTGGCATGGTATCTTCCAGACTATTAAGCCATTTTTATTCTGCCTGTGTCAGACGGCTCTGTGAATCTCCGTGACTAAAAATAGGGCAAAAATGCTATAAATAAATAAAACGAGCGTAGACTTGCTTGTGAAGCTCATTGTGATTGTCTGAGGATAGAAGTTGTATTGATTTTTTTTTTTCCCTTTCGCTTCGTTGGCCTGATTTTCAAGCATTACGTGGGACTTCCTTGTCCGTGAAGAACCACCGATTTTCATTTTCTGTCTTTGGCTAAATCATATCTAGATGGAAATTTGATCCATCCCGCTTTGAAAATAAGTAAATAAATAACAGTTGAAAGGAAGTTCAGAAATGTTTAGGCTACTCGGTAGTGCATGGATTAAAAATTTGCAGAAGGGCAACAGGCCTTTGATTACCATTACAGAAAGTTCGTAAGAATTGCTTTGCCCCTTTTAACACAAAACATAGTTAAAAAGGAAGGGCTTTTTGGTGAGAAAGGAGAATGAAGCTGAACCCCATTCAGTGCAATTTATTTTTTATTTTTTGTATTTATAAGCAGAAATCTAAGCATGAGTCATGCTTCTAAATCAGGTAGTCCTCAATTTACAACCTTTTGTTCAGTGTGTGTTCTAAGTTATAACAGCAGTGAAAAAAAGTTATTTATGTCTGGTCCTCCATTTACACCCAACACAGCGTCCCCAAAATCACATGATCAAAATTCAAGGGCTTTAGCAGCTGGCCTGTAACTGTACAGTGGTTCAGTGACCAGCCAAATCAATTGGGGGAACTAGGTTTACTTAATGACTGCATGATTCACTTAACAACTGTAGCAATTTGCTTAACAACTACGACAAAAAGAAGTCCTAAAATCAAGTGAAATTCGCTTTAACATAACTGCCCTGCTTTGCAGTGGAAGTCCGGGTTCCAATTGTCATCGTAAGTCAAGGACTACCTGTATATTAAGGGATATCTTGGTCTCGTTTTCCAGTTTAGGTAGAATTTCGGTCAGTTCTCCTTTAATGACTTGTGATATAGCCAAGAAGAAAATTAATGATGCCATAGGAGGAGGGGGACTCCCTTTTAAGAAAAGTATGGTCTTTTTCAGTGGGTTAGGCTGTGCGTTGTCAGTTCCGCTTACACACATTACACATCACAAAAGGACATCTGTGGTTGATTAGCAGATCTTTGATAAGATGTTTATCCGCCATTGATTTACTCTCGGCTTGGACTGAAAGGGTGCAGCCAAGAGGGAGGGAGGGAGGGAGAGAGAGAGAGAGAGAGAGAGAGAGAGGTGGAATTGCAGGGTGGGTGGGAGAATTATGGCATATAGAAGATATCACAGCACAAAGCAATTTTTGCATCTTCGCCTATTTTCACAACTGATTTGACTGGCCACGGTCCATGAATAATATACATTGTTGGCAATGGGAAGAGCTGCTGCTGCAAAAGATGAAATCTCAAAGAAATGGTCTTAGTTCGTCCCTCGGTGTAGAATTCCATTTTTTAAAGGGGATTTTGAGAACCGGAGTCTGTTCCCTCCCAAATCCTTACTCACATCTGATCATTATGACTTTGGGAGTAAGGCTGTGAGGCCTCCATCAGCTTAAAGAGACCCATTGGCCAAATATTACTCTTTAAGTGCTCCAAAGTGACAGTACAATCCCTGGATCATCTTCTAAGGCAATTTTTCTCAACCTTGACAATTTGAAAATGTGTGGACTTCAATTCCCAGAATTCCCCAGGCAGCAAAGCTGGGAATTGGAAGTCCACACATCGCCACGGTTGAGAAGATGTGAGACGCCATTGATCTTTCATGGAGTCAGAGAAAATCTGGCCAAGTTAAAACAGAAATACTAGGATTATTATTATTATTTTTTTATAAAATTTTATAAAAATGTGTTTTTAAAACATTTTCTGGGATAATTGCTAAAGTACAGTTTGGAAATGGATATGCTCTCAAGATTTCTCGCTTGAATTCCCTTTTGATTCGAACGGTTTTGAGAAGTATAAAAGTTCATTATAACAAAAAGGGGCGAGATGGTTTGTTATTCATGAAAGTCCATTAAATCAGAGCTGATTGTAAGCCAACATCATTTACATAATGACATCATTACACAAATGGCGTTAAGCCCTCTTTCACTGCGGCACTGCTACAAGTCACTTCACTTATTATTCTGTATTCTTTGTTATTCTGTCATTAAGGAAATGATGTTTATAGGTGCCAAAAAAACCCCCACCACAAGTCCTTGACTTTTATGACCATAACAATCATGCCCATTATGGACATAGATATCATGAGGGTCATAAAGTGGATCACTCATGCGACTGACCCAATATTATGACTTTTTGCAGTGGTTGTTAAGCAAACACAAGATTTATTACGCAAACACGGCAGCTGTTAAGTGAACTATTGCTTCCTACTGGGTGTTTGTGTCGCAAACTGGAAATAAATGCTGGTTTTCTTTCAGCAAAAAATGTCCTAAATTGTGGGATCATTCGGCTGTGGGGAGAGGGGTGGGCTTGGAACTTCAGAATCAGGTGACAAGTATCTTCTGGATGGATCTACCATAACTCTGGTCACTAAGCAACTGTCATAAGTTGAGGGCTTTCCTGTATTCAGGCCTGTTCGATTGTTCGATTGTCCTTTTGTGAGATTAACCTGATATATTCTCTCTCTTTTTTTTAATCTTCTCCTAGATTCTCAAGTTCTACAGGAACCCAGGGATCTATCATACTGGTGCGTGGTGGCCTATTGGGAAGAGAAGACACGGGTGGGGCGCCTGTATTCGGTCCAAGAACCTTCCCTGGATATCTTTTACGATCTACCTCAGGGGAACGGCTTCTGTCTCGGACAGCTCAATTCGGACAATAAGAACCATCTGGTGCAGAAGGTCCGTGCCAAGATCGGTTATGGCATCCAGTTGAGCAAGGAAGTGGACGGCGTATGGCTTTACAACCGCAGCAGTTACCCGATTTTTATCAAGTCGGCCACACTGGACAACCCGGATTCCAGGACGTTGTTGGTTCACAAAGTGTTTCCGGGCTTTTCCATCAAAGCGTTTGATTACGAGAAAGCCTACAGCTTGCAGAGGCCCAACGACCACGAATTCATGCAGCAACCTTGGACGGGTTTCACGGTGCAGATCAGCTTCGTGAAAGGTTGGGGCCAGTGCTACACCAGACAGTTCATCAGCAGTTGTCCGTGCTGGCTGGAGATTATTTTTAATAACCGATGACTCGAGACGACTCGACTCGACTCAACCGCAGGCCTTCCTGAGCGCAGCATCTTGAAAGGACGGGTGGACTTCAACTCCCACAGTTTCCCAGCCAGCAGAGGGAATTCTGGGAATTGAAGTTCACCCTTCTTCCAGGGTGTCCAAGTTTGGGAATCGCTGCTCAACCAGTGACATTTTATAATGACTTTGCTGCTAAAACGTTTCCTTTTGAGTGCTTGCTATGGTGTGCAAACGTTTTTTGTTTGTTCGTTCTGTTTTGAGAAATAGCTTATGGGAAGATTTCTCCGTCTTTCTTTCTTTCTTTCTTTCTTTCTTTCTTTCTTTCTTTCTTTCTTTCTTTCTTTTTCCCTCCTTTTCTCTGTCTTTTTATTTTGGGGTGGGCGCGCGATGTGGAGATAACTTTTTTAAAAATGTGGATGATGACCAACAACCCAGAAGGAGAGGAGAAGAAGGTTGGGAAAGGTTTCAGTCGGACGTGTCTACCGAGAGGGGCTCATTCTGATTTCTTTTCAAATTGTGATTCAAACACAACTTGAATGGATTCAATCCCAATTTACAGGCTTTTCAGGTTACCATCTTCACTGTACCTTTCAGGCTGCGTTATCTTTCTCACCTCCCTTTGTGAGGCTCACACACACGCTTCTCTCCAAAGGAATCCTGTGTTTCCTCCAAATAAATACACCACCTTCTTTGCACACTTGGGGGTGTTCTGCTGATTTCAGCAGACTTCTATCAATCCACACTTAGAAATGCCATAATACACCAAGATCTGGTTTCCTTCAGTGACCATCGATGGGAGGGAAAGTCTGGAGTTTAATCTGGCTTGCAAGAGGTAGGACAAATTCCTGCAAGCAGTTACAATTAGTCCTTGACATACAACTATTCATTCGGTGACCAGTTGCACCGGCACTGGGGTTAAAAATGTGATGTATGTCTATTGTTTCCACACTTAACAACCATTGCAGCATCCCCAGATTTATGTGATCAAAACTTGGACGCTTGTTATTTATGACGGTTGCCATGTCCTGGGGTTGTATGATCCTCTTTTGCAACTTTCTGACAAGCATAGTTAATGGGGAAATCCAGATTCGCTTAACGACCATGTTACTAACTTAACAGTACAGTGATTCACTTAGCAATGGTGGCAAGAAATATTGTCAAATGGGCCCAAACTCATTTAAAACTGCTTAACGACCAAAATTTGGGGCTGAATTGTGGTGGCAAGTCAAGAGCGACCTGTATTTCATTCTAGAATCAAGTGAATGGTTCTGGATCCACTCCTGCTTGACGAGAGATGCCTTCCTTCTGACAACTTCAAACCCAAGGACCCCGTCCATCTTGCTGCAGGGCGCTCCCATCTGTTGCAAGAGAGACATGCAGGGCGTGAGATGAGTGGTTTAAGAAATATGAAATAAATAAAATAATGTGAGTGGCAGGGTGGTGCATAGCCCCTGGCACAATACACAAGAATCACTGTGGGGAATTAATGCAGAAATGCAGGATTTTAGCCAACCGGGTATAAGGAGGTATCTTTCTTCCCTTCCTCTTTATTATATCTACCTGCAACTTTAAACCTTTTGACTGATCTTGTGGATGGAAAAGAAGAAGCTGCACAGGTTTGGGAAAGAAATAGCCATTTTTCTGGGCTTGGCTATCACTTACAATGCCTGTAAAAATATATATATATATTTGGCCTGGGCTTTTCAAAATGGATTTGCAAAGCAGAGTTCATCCCTCCTCTTCTCTTTTCAATGGACAAAGCTGAATTTCAGTATTTACTCCCTGACCCCCATTTTGATCAGATAATAATTGTTTGCATCCAGAAACTGCAGTCATTTGGTTAGTATGTTAGTATTTTTTTTTCTTCTATTCATACACTTGGTATGATAATTTTACACTGTTCTTAGCTCAATGAGCACGTTTAGACCTTAACATAAGCTATTTTTCTAAATGCAAAAGAGGAATAAGTGAAGAAGAAAAGCATCATCCTTGGAATTTTAGCATTGAAGTGCTTTTTGGGGAAAAAAAATAACAACAGACTTCTTTTAAAAAAAAAACCTTGAGATTTATTAAAGAAAAATGTATTTTATGTTATATATAAATATATTATTACTTGTAAATACAAAGACGTTTTATAAGCATCATTATTTATGTATTGTGCAATGTGTATAAACAAGAAAAATAAGAAAAGATGCACTTTGCTTTAATATAAATGCAAATAACAAAATGCCAAATTAAAAAAAAAGATAAAAATTAACGATTGGTGGCCGTTTTCTCCCTTATCAGTTTTTGTAGTCTGTCGCTTGAAAGGGTGGTGTACTCACAAGATGGAAAGTGTGACCATGGTGACTAAAAGGGACATCAGGTTAGTTCAGAGGTCTCCAAACTTGGGCTGGCTGGAGAATTCTGGGAGTTGAAGTCCACAAGTCTTAAAGTTGCCAAGTTTGGGGACCCCTGGGCTAGTTGATGGCTGTGTGTGTGTGTGAGAGAGAGAGAGGGAGAGTGAAAGAAAGAAAGAGAAAGAAAGAAAAGAAAAGAAAAACAAAAGATAGTTATCTTCAAGGACTTCGATTTCTCATCAACACTGCAACGGACATCAATGCTGTAAACCAGGGATGTCAAACTTAAGGCCCACAGTGCCTCTCCAATGAAAACGGAGCTTGGGAGCCTGTTTTTGCTGGCAGGCCGTTCAGGCAACCATATGAGTGACATTGAGTTGGCCACGCCCACCCTTACCACGCCAACCCAGCCCCCAACACAACCCTGATGCGGCCCTCAATGAAATCAAGTATGACACCCTTGTTGTAAACCCTTAAACAATGAAAACTTTAAGGAAAAGGTTCAATACAGGTAGTCCCTGACTCACAACAGTTTTTTTTAGTGACCACTCAAAGTTATAACGGCACTTTAAAAAGTAACTTCTGACTCTTTTTTTCACACTTATGACTGTTGCAGCATTCCCCAGGGTCACGTGATCAAAATTCAGATGCTCGGCAAGTGATTGACATTTTGGAGGGTTGCAGAGTCCTACGATAATGTGATAATCATCTTTTGTGACCTAATGGGGAAGCCAGATTCACTTATCAACTGTGTTACTAACTTAACAACTACAGTGTTTCACGCGAGAAAGATCATAAAATGGGGTAAAATTCACTTAACAAATATCTTGCTTAACCACAGAAATTTTGGGATCAATTGTCAAATCAAGGACAACCTGTATTCAGGAAAAAAAAAACTTATTTTTTTGTCACGACTTTTTTTTTTGCATTTTTTCTTTTAAAAAATGGGAAAAAATACTTCCTAATATACTGTCTTTGTAAACAAAGCACAAAGTCATTGCGTGTTGCCCAAGCTTTTTAGTCTGTGCAATTCTTTTTAAAGCAGCTACTAGGTAATAGCCGAGATACGCTGATAAGGCTATTTTTCAAGGCTCTTCGTCAAAAGTTTTGTAGTCCAGTTTTGAAATGCAAGAATGCCTTTTGTTTTTCCCTCGGGGTTGACTGACATTTATTTCTCTCCCACCTTACACACACAAAAATTCAGCTTCTGGGCTCTTCCTTCCTCTTGTGACTTTTTGAACTCAAGAGGTTACTGCAATCTGCAAAACCCTAGGATCGTAAAGGTGTATCACACACAATAAAACCTGCTTAAAGGACAACCAAGGTCAAACAGATGTTAGAGCAGTTGTGTTTTCATGTTGACCGGCTTCTGAAAAGATTCCAGAGCTGCTCAGGTCATAATTAAAAGGAGTCTTCTAAAAAGTTGTTTAAGAGCCACAGTTTAGTGCAGTGGTTAAAGGCACCACCAGGTAGTAACCTGTAGATTTTACTCCTGCCTGAGGCAGGAAGCCGGCTGGGTTATTTGGGGCCATTCTTTCCCTCTCGGGCCCCAGGAAGGAGAAGATGGTGGCAAACAACTTTGGGATATCTCGCCAAGAAAACCGCAGGGACTTATCCGGACAGTTGCCAGGAATCAAGGCTGATTTGAAGAGGCCAAAATAGCTAACTAGTACAGAGTAAAAAGGGTTTATGTAAAATAGCT